GGTGGAGCATAACCATCAAGTGCCATAGGGACCACATATGGATGCCACTCTAGCATCCCAATCTCTTCCCCAACAACAGATGCTGGGGACAGCCATCAGCTGGCCTTTCCATCAGTCTGTTGTAGGCAGCAAGGCTGCAGGCTTTCTGCTGCCCCTAGCAGTCTTGTCCTTTTTGCCCCAGCCAGTGGCTCTTTCTGGCGGCCAGGGTCTCTTCTGGCAGCTGCGAGTTACTACGATGCATGCAAGATCAACTCTCTGTAACAGAAGAGAAGCAGAGTTAAGTGATGCCATCTACTGTCAGTGATCCCAAAGGTGCTAAACTAGTCTCTTGGCCAAAATGTATCATGGTGACAGAGAGGACAAAGAAGAGATGCAAATTCAGGCTAATACAATGAAAGAAATCTGTAACACTTTTGCTGTCAAAGTAGATGGATTTCTAAGGCTGCAGCATCCAGTATTTTCTCAGCTGTTTCTTCAGAGAACATATTTATAAAAATAGGTTGATTTTATTTGAATCCAGTGATTTTGTTTTGCAAGCTTTCAGGTGACTTACGATGTTATAAAAAATGTGAGAAAAGACACATTATACTGAAGAGAAGAAAAAACAAACACTTGGAACCCCGCATTTTGCAAAGATACTTTTTTCCCCTTTAGAAAGCTTTAAATAGAATAAAGCATCTTTTAAACCAAGGGTTTTTTGTTGGTTTTTTTTTTTTTATATTAAACTAACTTAAAGTTTTTGTCAACTGAGAGAAAGAGGTGCTTCCAGAAGGAATTTACCTTACTCTAGAATAAGGGTCTGGGATAGGCGGGATTAACTTTGCTCTGAAACTGGCTGCTTTGCACTATCAGTTACAAAAAGCACTAAGATAGATTTTAGATGTGCAAAACTATGTAAGATTAATGCTATCTTTTGTCCGTTCCAAAATACAGTTAGATTAATAAAATTATCAGGTGCCAGTCTACAACCAGTAGGTATCAACCCCCACTTTAACTGAAGAAATTAATAGTTGAGGAGAATAGTCAAGTATGACCAGTGGATTTTGGTGCCTTGATTTGGGGTGCTGTTTCATGTTGACTTAAAGGAACCTGCTTTTCAGAGAGTGTTCTTCCTTCTGAAAAATGAGTGGTATGATGGTGTCTCAGATTTGGCTTCCAAAAGCTGTAGGCCATCGATAGTACAAGTTGATTTGGAAAGTCTGGTCAGGCATTGTGCAGTGTACAGAAGTCTTCACAGCTGTGTTGCCCAAAGCAAACAGATGGTTTCACCTGCAAGGTCTTATCTCATGTAAAATTCATGTTGTGAATTGAGAAAGATTGTGTTTATAGTTTATTGTTGTGGGTGCTGCTTAGCGTGGTTATTAGAGCAATAACCACCTCAAGCAACCACACCAGAAAATGTGTGGTTTTATCCAAATGGTTTGAAGAATGCTTCTTGTCTTGGAGCACAGAAGGAGTTAACTGAAAGATCAAAGCTACAACGACTGCCGGAAACACGAAAACCCAATGGTGTGAGACACCATAAAAGGGTTAAAAACGATGATGTAAATCATCTGTGTTGGTTACGATGCTGTGAAAGCACAGACAGAACCTGGAGGTATAATAAATAATCTTGGAATACCTGAGAGCCTTGTGGCCTCTCTGTCATTAATCAGAAACCACAGACTGAGGGATTGGCTGGCAAAACATTAATCATTAAGCAATTAATTCCAGCCGTGAAAACAAAACTTTGGGTTTTCCTGAGTAGATGGGACTGAGGGAAGCACGGCATGTTTTTGCTTTTTCAATATAAAGGAAATAAAGAAGTACTGAGGAGGTCATACATTCATCATTCAGATGGGATAGAAAATCTTCTTTATTATCTAGTTCTCCCTTTTTGTTTGTGTGAAACAGGAAGAGGGAAAATCATTACGGGTTTTCCTGGGAAGCAGTAATGAGCCTCTTGAGCTTAAACCTTTCTAGATGTGTGACACTGACAAAAAGGGGCTTTATTTCTTGTGTCTGATATATCTCTGCAGTTCTCCATAAAAGCATGCTAGAAATACCTTTTTATTCTTTGCAGCAACATCACCAGCAACTGTTACAACAGTCGTTGTGTGAGATTCAGGACATCTGACTTTTTTCTCTTTTCCTTGAATCCCAGTTTCTAATAATTTACCAATTACCTTAGGATCTCAGCTTTCCTGGCTTTTAGTATTATAGCTATGGAGAAACCAAAAAATGCAAATATTAAAAGCTGAGTAATCCAAACACAAGGAAAGCGGAGTCGAAAATGCAAACATACTGATTTTTGATTTTCTGCATATCATTTCATTTTGCAGGTACTTCAATTAGTTCAAGGGACCTAGATTTTACTTTTTTCATATTTGGGGTTAGAAGTGCTGCTAGAATTACCACTCGTATTTTTAAATCTGAAGCGTACACATAAAGAACAATCTTGGTCATGTTTTTCCATTAGCATGGAAACCCGGCCCGTCAAGGGCTGTGAGCACAACTTTACAACCAACTTCCAAGAGACCATCTTTATGTACTGTTGGATGGATGGTGAGCTGTGATGTAATTAGAAGCTGCCTAAATAGCGACTGGGCCTAGATAATTTGCCAAGTGCCATGTGAGAAGTTTGTGACAGAAACCAACTGTGGTTCTCTGGCTGTTACCTAACGCCTGGCCATCTGCCTCGCCGAGCCGACGGCGTAAATACTGGGGGAGCAACTGCGGGAGCTGTTACCTCAGATCAGGCCAGTGATTGCAAAGGACGCTGTTGCTGGCTTCTGAAGGATTATTCACAAGCTTGAGACACCGTTTATTTTAAATAGAGTCATTTTCACAGCAGAATTCAAATGCCACCTTCTCCTTGCATAAAATGTGTGGAAATATCTATCCACGAGACATGCAAGGAAAACTTTAGCCTAAATAGATGTCACAATTTGTGCGGTGTACCCTTTCAACTATAAAGTGATGCCATCAAAGCCAAGGGTTGTGCAGAAACGAGTATGCTGCCTTTACTTTGTGTGGCAATGATACCTTTACATACAGCTGTTTCCTTTTTATCAGCAGGCATCTTAGAGTTCATGCAGACAATCTATAGCATTTACCTCATCATCTGCTCAGAGGCATTGTATGGCAAAAAGCAATATGTGTATTAATATGATAATTAGTTTAAAAATCACCATCGTCTTTAGAGATACAGTTCCTACCATAGGTGTAACAAAAAACCCAAAGGTTAAGGTAAGTATATTCAGTATGAAAAGTTTCGAGAACATGTTCAGCTGGGCAGAAGACACTATATACTGAGAAACAGAATGTTTTGTACTTGTCCATTATGTCACTCTCGTTACAGAGAGCCCATTGCAACAGTCCTTAGCTAAGCAAAACACTTCATGAGAGCAGAGTCTGTTGGGCACAGATGGCCTGAATTCATGCGTTGCCACTGAGATTCTAACTGTGATTGTTTTTCATTTCCTCTTTCTTCCTTTGACTTGTGAATTAGTCTCGTTTGAGGAGACAGGATGTCGGCTTGAAAAGCCACCTGGATCAGCTAGACCAGCGAATAAGTGAGCTGAAATTGGACGTCAGTAAGACTTCCAGTGAATACTTGGATAGTGACAGCCGGCCCAGCTCAGGTACTGTGCGCTTGGTCATTTATTCCCAGAGGTGTGGTGCTAGGAGAACTGAAGGGTGTCCACTGCTGAGCAAAACTTTCTAGATTGTTTGGTCAGAAACGGTGCCCCATGGCTGAGGTGGAGAGTAGTCATCTGGCACAGAGCACACTCAAAGAGCCAGTGGGAATTTTCCTGCAAAGTTGATGTAGTTGGAAAATGATTATTCATTCAAACAGTATTTTTCCTGGATTTTTTTTTTTTTATTTTAAAATGGACGTTTTAGTCACAAATGGAAGGAGGAGACAGATTTATTAATTAATTACCTTATCCAGTGCAGAATGAGCATTGGCAAAGTGGCTGTAGTGCTTACTAGATGTGAAGGAGACCAACGTCCATGTCAATGTTCTGCTTGAATTCAAGAAGGGTCCTGAAACTCAGTAGGGCTTTGGAGATCACTACCACTGCAGTGCTCTGGCCAAATGAGTGTTTGATCATTTCTATTAAAATGAAACAGCTCTATTAAAAGACAATGAGAAAAACCACCCCAACAGTTTGCTGACTAAAGCTCTCATGAACAGAGAGAGATTGTTTCAGGTTTCTGGTCTGAGTCGGAGGGCGCTGTACTGCAGACTTCTATAGCTAGGACGTCTGTTAAATCAGTTTCTGTTATCTAGTCTAGGACAATGGGAAGAGGCTTCTTTTTAAACAGAACTTTGAAAAGCCTTAATTCTTCAGTGAGACAAGGAAAGAATTTTTGTATTTACAGTGTACGGATTTGCAACCTGGTACTTGGAGTGGGTATAAAATGTGAAGGTTTCTGTTTAGTGTTTAAGTTCAGGAGTTGTGCGCTTAGGCACATACACACGGTTCAAAAGGAAACGGCTTCCTTTTCTGTTTGCTTTATAGAGAGGAATAATAAAAATTCCTGTCTTGAATTTATACAGAGCCTTTTTTAATACTTCCATAATTAATTGGCAATGATCTCAATACCTGGAGAGGGAAGAGAGCCTCCGTTCTCTGCCCTTAGACATTTCAGCTATCATAGACTTGGCAGCTCTGATCACAGACTAGTTTTACTTTACTTTCCCATCCATAGCACAAGTTACAACAGTGTAACATGGCCCTGTTTTACACCAGTTGCATAATAGTCCCCAAAGACATTCTCTAGTGAAGAAATGGGCGTGATGGTGCTGCACTTCACCCCATCCCACCCTCAGAACTAAGCATGCATGTGCGTGCCAAGCTGGCGCAGCGCCTGAGTAAATACACAGAAGCCCAATAAAAGGTGGTTGAATTAGAGTATACCTCTGCTAAAGTTACCCAAGTAAATGATCATAAATTTAGGCCTGTGGCATGTAGCAAATGAAGATTTATTTTGTTCTCTGCATTTTTCTTATACAGAGCATGTTTAGTTACTGTAAATAAGAAATATCTTCCTATTTATTTTAACTCCGCAGGCTTCTATGACCTGAGCGACGGCGGTTCTTGCTCACTCTCCAATTCTTGTACCTCTGTGTACAGTGAGTCCATCTCCTCCTCCCACACCAGTCTCTTGCCCGGCTCTCAACACCCTAAAGCAAGGCTCAGTGTGTTTGATTACCGACCCAAGTCTGCAGATGAAACCACTGTGCACACCGCCAGCTTCCAACAGCAGGGAACCTATGTCAGCGATGGATGTCGAATTACAGCTAGCATAGATATTCCTGGGACTCCTGCCAGGTCTCGACCAAGGCCAGTTTCCACAGGTAATTGACTGCAGAACTGGATACTCATTCAAGAGAACGGCAGAATCCTGGTTATTACTTTTAGGACTTAATATACCAATGTGCAATCAATATATAGCACTCATTTTCCATACACAAAGTAAGAATTAATTGAAACCACAGAGCCAAACCATTTACTGTCTGACTTTCACTTGTCTCTGTACTCAGATACTTTTAAACAATAACAAATACTAGGATGTAAGCATTTAGAAATGGAAAAATAGTTAAGTGCATGTGATAAAATTGTAATGAATGCTGAGATACTTTTTTTTATTTACCTGCTTGTGAAATCAGAAATATTACAGTGTTTGAAACACCTGTGTGAAAGTGCAGAGATGTATGAAAAATAGAGGTCATGCATTTTACTGAGAAAGATTTTACAGAAATGTAAGGAGGAAGAGACACTTCCTGACTCCGTGCCTGTTTTCTCAATTTGTTGTAAATTGAGTATGATAATACTTATACAAACCTTGCCATATTTATTCACATTAATGTGGACTCAAACGATACTCTATTTCATAATTCACTATGTACAGTTAGGGATAACAGACACCGAAGGTTAATTGACTGTTAGGAACCAGTCATGAGCCTAACAGTGGATCAGCCATGAATTTGCTTCATACCTTTAGACAAAATAGACAAGTCCACTAATATTACAAACTCATCTGTGAAGTGACATTGTATCATTTCTTATTTTGAGTCCTTCCATGATCTCAGAGCAGCCTTGTGTTAGTGCACTTCATATGGTGACCCAGCCAGATGTGTGTCTGTTCCTTTACAGAGACAGGGAAGGCATAAGGAACATCATTTCAAGTACCATGTCACTGTGGAGTCATTCCCACAGCTTCTTCACCTGAGCTAGCTCACCTCTGGCTTGCTTGGAGCAAAAGCAAGACCACCTGTTCTGTACCTATCTATGCAGACATACCTGAAATGATGGTAGCAAATTATAGCATAAAAGCGAAGTCTTCTCAAGGCTTAATGATCTGTGGCTTCCATGTTCAGATTACAGACTTCTTGTATCAGAAACTTTCCTGCCTTGCAACGTTTTGCTAAGAGCCCAGGGGCTTTATGTTTTTTTGGATATGGAGATAGACTGGCAGAAAAAGGAATAGCTGATGTTAAGTAGGGGTGCGGGAGTGAGGCTACAGAAGTCCTTCTGCCCTCCTCATTTTTCCACCACCACCTCCCTTCTTCCTGCCTACAACCTCTTACTTCCTTCAGTGTGAGAACATAAGTAGTGCAGTAGTAATGGGTGTAGTCTTGAAGAAACAATTCTCACAAAGTTAACTGCATTGCAGGGAGTGAGGCAAGATGTAACTTCAGAAAAGCATCATTTGGAGAAGGGAAGAAGTTTCTCTTTTCCTCTCCTTAGCTCATCTCCGCAGGTAACTGCAGGTACAAACCGATTGTCTTTTCTTTCAGTGGCAAGCGGAAAGCTTGCTGAGGCACCACAAGCACAGTGTCCTTTTGATACCTTCCTGGTTTGTTTGCACAAGAGAGCACCACTACACACTGCCAACAATTTTCTGAAGAATTTTCATTATGAAAATACATTGTTTGAGAAACCAGCATCCTAACCTTTGCCATAGGAGGTCTGTCAGTGCCTTAGGTAGGACACTGTAGACAACTCCAAATTTTGAAGTCTTTCAAAAGCTTCCTGTCACAGGACAGAAATAGTCTCACTGTAAGAGAAATATGTGGTTGGATTGGATGGTTGGGTTTCCTGGTAGCATGAAGCAGCCAGGAAATTGGCTAGCTGTGGATTTGTTGACACTGAAGTCTGCACTGTCATACAGAGAAATCCAAGCTAACTGCAGATGGTTCCAGTACTCTTGGTGCCAGAGGTAACATAGCACCATAGTGCTCTATCAGATGACTTGTCTGGATGGAATGGTCTTGCATCACACAGGAACACCGTCTGTCTCTCAGCACACAGGAGATGCTCCTGCGAGGAAGGTGCAGCAGTCAAGTGTAACTTACAGCAGCTTTGACAGTACTCCAGAATTTAAGATATGTGAATTGGTGGCCATAAATGCCATCTTCAGGCTGCGCCTTCCATCTGACTGAGTAGTTACCCTTATATTTTTTTCTGTGTCAAAGTAAAGGTTCTTTAGTCTGTTCTTCAACGTCCTTAAGGTTGACTGTTAAAAAACCCACACATAGAATTATGGTATTCCTGATTTTCTGCCTTTTAATAATACATCTGAATATTCTTTCTGGAATTAAATATTCTAAGAATTTACTTGAGAAAGGCATGAGACTGGTAATGTTATCAAATGAAATGAGAGATTCAGTTAGGAGGTTTCACTGGATTTTGGGTTAAGGAAAAGTAGAATCGTGTCGCTCTCTGACCTATGGGACACGTGAGTCTTAAACGGCTCTCCTGTGTGCATTGAGTACTTCTGTTTACTAATGCCTTACTAAAATAAAATGCAAAAGAATAAGCAACTAGAGCTTCCAGCATTTAAGAAGTTAAGAAGCACTATAATGTAGTGTCTGCTTAAGTCCTCTTAGAGCAGCTGGTTTGATATTATAGATTTTTCCAAGAGACATGATATAAAAGGGTTGTAGGAAAAGCTGGAATTCAAATTTAACCACTTTAAAAAAAAAAATACCATTGACTCTGCATGCTGGAAATTTCAGGAATTTCTGAGTTACAGTCATTTATTCAGAGGAAGTCTTTATCCTGTCCAGGGGGGGAAATGTTCAAAAACTATAACTGCTGCGTTGGATAATTTTACATGACATTCAGCTTCAGGCTTTCTGGTTGTTGGATTCACTTTTTATCTCTGCTAAGAAATAAAAATAATCCCATATTTTTGTTTAGTTGGTTGGGTTCCTGTTAGTCTGTGACATTCTAGAACATTTTTATATATGCACAGATTTACTTTCACCCAAGTAGCACAGTTTAAATTTTGTGCAAATGAGTTCATGAGTTTTATTATTGGCATTAAAAGGCATTCTAATCTCTGTTATGCTCAGGTGAATAAAAGCCTGGAAGTAATTCAGTGATCTTGGAGGACTGAAACTGTTTTCTTCATTAATGCTACCAATTTTAGTAAAAGCTAGCACATCCCTCTGAAATAGCACTTTTAACATAAGCCAGTTTGAATGTAATTGTCTGTGATTTAATTAGGTTATTTATTTTCATCCACTGCGTAGGTGACTTGGAAAGACTCATTCCGACAGACACTAGATGTCAGAAGGAGACGGATCCCAAATCCATGTTGCCTCTGTGCCATGCTGGAGACATGCGCTTGCTCAGCGTGGACCCCAAATTCCAGAACGACTTGGTCTCCAAGAATGGCATTGATGTGTATCCTTACCCAAGCCCCCTTCATGCAGTGGCTTTACAAAGTCCACTTTTCTCCCTGGTGGGGACATCCCCAGAAGCAGACCTCCAGGCTCCTCCCAGCAAACCCATGCCTAGCGCGACTGGTCCCAGCTTGATGAGGACTAGGCCAACCACTGAGGCCAAGCCAGGGGGTTACATCAATAAATTACTGCAGCTTACGAGATGCAAAGGGAACAGTCGGGCTGATGCCAGTGAGTGGGTTCCAACAAAGAGCCAGCCAGCCACAACGCACCAGAGACTCATTATAACCCCCAGCGCCGGCGGAGTGAAAATTAACAGCAGCAGTAGCCAGCTGGAAAAACAAGCGAGTTTTCTGGAAAGTAACAAAGCTGAAGGGAAGCTGCAGAGAGAGGTGCCGGAGGGGGAATGTGCTAAGCAGCAGGAGACCATGCGCTGCGTGAATGAAGAACAGCCATCCACTCGGCCTGACACAGAGCCATCAGCTGTGAATAGTTGTTATCCTGCCAAGCCAGCAGCCAGGGGCTCTCCTCTGGCAGAAGCAACGGAGAGTAGCGTGGAGCGCAGTTCATCCGGCTCGCAGCTGTGCCAGGAGGACTCCAGCCCAGACACCTGGAATGCTAAAGCCATCCCACCCAGAAAGCTGCCCCTCAAAAGGAGCGGGAATGCCAAATTGGCTAATGCCGGAGGTCATGAGCGAGCGGCACGGAGTGAGTTCGTTCATGCCCAGTTCGTCCCTGCAGAATCTCACCAAGTCCGGGTCAAGTTTGCCAGCTCCAAAACAAAGGCAGTGAAGATAAAGAGGAGGAGCAGCGAAAAGGTACTACGACCTGGGAAGCAAGCCTTTTGCATGGAGAAGGCGAGAGGAGTCCATGGAGCTGCCAGGCTGCCTGCTGAGTGGAATCAGCCCCAAAGACCACTCGGACTAAAGAGCCTTGTGCGGAGACCTTCGTACTCCGGTGACGTGACCGGCAGGTCGTGCTCGGAGTCTAGCCTCTTCCCTGTGCAGGTCAGGCTCCCTGCTGTGCAATCCGGGCCAGAGCTCTACAGAGCCTCTGCCAATGCACTGTATTCCCTGGAGACAGCTTGCGCAGACACGGCCAACAAGAAGCAGCGCAAGTGGCAGTCCACAGTGGAGATCTCTGCCAAAGCCCACCTGGCCAGCCTCTCCAGTAGCTTTGGCCTGGGAGCACCAAGGCAGGCGGCAAGGAGAGCCGGTGTCCTGCGCACCGTCAGCATGAGGGCTCGCTCCAAGAGTCAGCGCCACGGAGCTTATGCCAAAAGTGAGTCGGAACATTCGGAGTACTCTGCAGAGTGCGCTTCCCTCTTTCACTCCACCATCGCAGAGACCAGCGAAGGGGAGGTCAGCGATTTCACCGCTAACCGTTTCGGGGACAGCGAGTCCAGCGAGAGCGATTCGGATGGCAGCAGCAACAGTAGCAGCCTTGCCCTCGACTATGGCGAGGGGGATGAAAATGAGCTGATCTGGCCTGAAGGTTCGGTCAGACAATCGGGTGCTGTCCAGGCCTCTTCCAAGGCTCTTCCCCCAGTGCCCAAAATCTGTCGTATCAAAGCTTCAAAGGCACTAAAGAAGAAGATTAGGAGATTCCAGCCTGCCTCTCTGAAGGTCATGACCATGGTTTAAGGGAGAGCAAGCATCTGTTTCTTACAGCGGGACATCCTGCTGGCTGTCGTTTGCAAAACAAGAGACCCATGTGCAGAGAAAAAGACTTGCTTAAATGAACTGTGAATAACACAAGGGATCTTCTTGTTTGTTAATGCCTGGACATAAATGTCACTGTATCTAATTTCCTCTTTTGCCATTTATTCTGTAAATATGAATCTGTATATTTTGTGTTGCCTTTTTTTACTATGCAGAAAAGTCACCAAGGTGAAAATGAAAAACCACCTCTGCCATAAAAGTTTTGCAGACAGGCTCTCGATGGTTTGTTGACCATGTGAAACCACAGAGTCAGTCGTAGACACAAAGGCTTCCCAAGAAGAGGGACTCTTCCCAACTGCGTATTTGGGAGCGTCCCTCCCTCTTGTGAGGACTTCTTTGCAGTCTGAAGTCTGTGTTAACTGTCCAGCTGTCACTGCTCATATGGAAAAGCTCTCAGTGCTCTCTATAGTTTTACTTTTTTCAGATCAACCATCCCATACTTTCTCCCAAACGTCAGAAGAACGAGTTTGTTTTTCCATAAAAACATACTATGTTTAATCAAGAAGGCAGATGTATTCGTGAAAGAGAACAAGACTTCAGTCTGTTTCCTGTTTTCAAAACTGAGAGTATAGGGTTGGTTTTTTTTTCAAATCCCTTCTTTATTATGTTCTATGTTATTGTTCATTTGTTGAATGGATGAAAGAACATGAGGGCTCAGTGCCACAGTGTGTGAATAACTGGGACTGAAATTATAGCTTTGGCCCTGAAATTGCAAACTCAATAAATATTATTTAATGTACTTTTGAAGATTGTGCTTGTCTGACTTTGATGTCTAAAGAAATTATTCTGAACTGTAACATCACATCAGGAAGGCAGAGGGGCTTTCGTTGGTGAAATGGAATCTATATTTTCATGATCACTGTGCAGAGGGGTTCTTTTTTCTTTTTCAGAGGGTTGCTATAGATCAGTCAGAACCAGGGTCCTTTTAGCTTCTACTGCAGGAAACCTGCTTCAGCCCCTGCTTCTAAATGGATGCATTTAAAAACAGTATTTGTATTAAGGACAAGATAGTGTTTAACTGACTGACTTAAATTGATGCAATTTTATAATAAGACACTCTTAATTTAAAACATATTTATGTATACCTAATGTCTTTTGAATGCATTTGAGGACACCTATGTGAAGCTTTGAATCGGCTGCTAAACCAGTGAAATGATTTTTTGTGTTCAGACAAGCAGTCCTAATTCTTTCCTCTGAGCACAGCGATCTGGAAGCTGAGCTGAAGTTCACCCTGTGTTTACCAAAGAGCAGGTATTCTCCTCCTACCCTGTTTCAGTGCCCAATCTGAATACATTCCTGGCCTGGGAGATGTAGGCATTACCTCATTCAGCTGAGTGTACTGGGTCTGAAACAAAAGGCAAGTTGCTTTGCAGAAACTGTGGGTAAAAGAGTGCTTATTTACTCCAAGGATTCATTAGCAAATAGAAGTATCAAAAGACTAAACTTTTAGCCAATGCCTTCTATTCTTTGAAAGCTGTGTTATGTTTTTAAACCACTGTTTTCAAATCATTTCTGGAAAATGAGGTAGAGAAAAGTAAAAGTTACATAAAGTCATTCAAGTATTAGAGCTAGTGCATGACAGCATCCTTACTGCAACTAGGAAAATATTACATTTTAGTCAGTGGAATATGTTTAAACATTTTTTCATGGTCCCAAGAGTATTGGACATAATCACTCCAGTAGGATTAATGGGAGAAATTCACAGGTCCGGTGGTGGTTTCTTGTTCAGCATGTCTAGCGACAGAACAAACAAAATAGTGATTTATGCCTTGTTGACTTTCTACAACACAAAAGGATTCTTTTTACTGTTTACATAAAAGGTTTCATTTGGGGGAGTGTGTCAAAAGTTACATGTGAACCTTTAATCCATGGATTTTCTGTGTTGAGGTGGAGTTGATTGGTTAGATAGGAATTTTGAGGGTGGTTTTTTCATGGGGCAGGAAATTGTTCCTAATGAGAAAACTGCTCTGGGTAGGAGTGTTCTGAAACCTAGTACGAACCACCACCCAGTAGCTCCCTGCCTTTTTATCAGAGTGAGCTCAAACAATAAATTTGTGGTCCCACAACTCAGTAAATCCCATTTTAGGGCTGTTAATGCTCCGTCAGAAATGTTGCCAGACACATGATGAAAGTGCTGATCGAGAATCAACTCACACTGCCAATTCAAATAAAGAAAAATGATGACTTAATTTTGTACTGACAGGTTTTATGCCAGATGAGGTATCACTGCCTCTACAGCTCACGCTTTGCCAGGTCAGATAATGTCTCTCCTCCCAGAGCTAGCATAAAGCCAACATAAAAGCATAAAGCTGGTATAAACGTCATCATCCTATGCTGTGGCTAATTTGACAGAGAGTTGATTATGTGCCCACACTTGATCCAGGGGGAACCTGTGAGCTGGAGAACCCCAGCAATGCAGAGAACCTGCTGTTAAGTGTTGAGGTATCACCACATGCAGTGATACTGCTGAGCTGTGACTTTCTGGGGATGGCAGAATGGGTGGTGCCACCCCTCCTTACTCCAGGACATTGGACCTTCCCCGTAGCACTGCCCTTTGGAAACACTGCCTTCTGCCGCTGGAGCAGAAGCTGCCTTGGGACCAGAGCTCTGGAGGGAAGTAGGACAGTGCAAAGCAGGACAGGAGACGCAGGTGGCCAATAGTCCAGCTATACTGACACTGAAAATACTATTGTAGTTCAGTGCACTGTTAAAAATTAGTATATTTTGTTGCCATGTAGACTGATGATTTTGATGACAACTAGGTAAGAGTGTGATGCCTGTTAGTGCTCTGTCCATCGGAGACTGTGGGCTAGCTCCACTGACAGCACCCAGGGATACCTGCCTCCTAAGCAAACAGATCTGAAACATATTTAATATCAACAAATATCAATAAATACTCTGATGCATTGTTCTTTTATATGTATATACTAAACTTTATAAAAACAACTGTCAGCTTCATATGAAGCCTCATAGTGAGAACAAGGAATACGCAGCTTTACTCGTGGTCTTGGTGATACAAAATAGAAACTATTTTCTCTTCCAGAAAGAATCCACAAATCCTTTTTACCTTTCAGCATCTTCTACTATAAAGGCCTAAGAGAATGCGAAAAATGTCGGTCGGCAATTCAATTAGCAGTCTAGCACCAAACCTGATACACTTTAGGAGTGAGAAGTTTAGCACTTTCACTGTGACTCGATTAGCAAGTGTTTAGATCTGATGGCTGTTTCAGAACGGCTTTATGCAGCGCCTCTGTTGCAGGAGCTAACATCTGTCATCATGGCTCCAAGCTCTAGTGAATCGAAATCATCCACTGCTGAAATCTATGCACCACATCAGCAGTTTCCTTCTGTCAAAGGCAGACATTTACACTTTGGTGTAGGAGCAAATTGCTCCTAAACCCAAAAAGAAAGGAAAAAAAGAGATAATAGATAGGGAATTAAGGAAGCTTTAAGGGCAATTTGCAAAGTAGATCAGAATTACGATTTTAAAAACTCCAGTAATCCTTTTATTCCTCTAATAATTTTGGAACAGGATAATTATCAGCCTTCTTGGCCTTGACACAATCTTAGATTTTCAAGTCCGCATCCAGTACCCAAACCATGGGATAGAGTCAGAGAACTGATGTTTTGTTGGAGACGCCATCCTTCAGGCCAGACCTTCGTTTGAAGTGACGTCTGGTCAGGCAGGGCACTGCTCAAAAGAAAGGCAGTTACCATGTGTTAAGTCTGAAAACCAGCTACAGATGATTCTCATGCTGGTGAACTCGAGTCTGGTGTACATTTTAAGGTTATGCTGGAGTCTATTTTGTGTTTGCTTATCCATCCTGGTCCAAAACTCTGAGAGAGTGAGAGCTGAAGGTGAGAGGCGCTGCAGGAGCAGCTAAAAGGCAGGCAACAGCAGCGGACCTTTGAGAAGCGACTTGCTGCCCAGAGGACCAAGCAGGCTGTGCGTGGCACGGGAGGGCTCGGGCAGTTCCAGCTCCAGCAGCCTTTGCCAGCTTCTTCGTTGCTGCTAAAACTCTGACCCAGCCCCACCGCTGCTCATGTGGCAGTGCTGGGATTGGGATGCTTCACTTGACATCATCACAGGCCACTTGCACCCAAAGCCACAGGTGCGTCACTCCTGAGCTACGAGGTCAGGGAGCGCGCCAGCCCAGAGTCCTTCCAGACTACCAAGTGCAAACTCCCCAGTTAGGCTAAGATTGCTTGAAGGAAACGTGCAGCAAAACAAGGCGTCTGTGACCGCGGTCTCTGACAGAAAATGAGACAATGGCATGCCAGGGAAGGACTGCCCAATTGCTACTCTGAAGCAATAGCAGCAACTTTCATTTTTCAAGCCCCTTTTGAGCCCTCCTTAACCATCCCGAGGCTGAACGCATCACACCAGCTGTGCTCCATGGAAGTGAGTAGCTCAGCTTTTAACTGCAGCAGCCTCTCTGCCTCCCTAACCATGACCTCAGCCCTCCTCACTGAACATGCTCCCCAGGAAGCTGCCCTGAGACGAGCTGCTCAAATGACCGTGTGAAAGAAGGAACATACGTTAATCTGGAAAACAAGAAGTCCTATGTCTCAAACTTGCCTGTGAGGAATACAAACATACAATGACACCAATACAGCATTTAGGCAGAGCCTCCTGTAACGCACACAGGTGTGAAGGAGACCTGGGACTCCACCATTAGCTGCTACCCTGTACAGACAGCTACTGTGATACTTCAGCTACAGATGAAGAGTGATCAAGAGGAAAACGCTCAGCTAAGGGCTGTTTTTCAGTGTTTTTACTTCTCAAGTTTAAAACCATCACAGTATGTCTAATTATACTGCAGTGCAGAATGTCAGCAGAATAGCAGCTGAAATGAGCAGAAGTCCAGCCAACATCATTTCTATTAATTTCAATTGTTATCATTATAATGAAGCCTGGAGAC